GTTTTGAAGTGGGAAAATTGAAATGAATCAATCGAGGTAAAAGAGAGTAACAATCTTGCGGAGATTTTTGGCTTCTTGACATGTCTCCATGAGAAGCTTACTGTCATGAAACGCAAAGCAGATGATTTGTTGCACTTGTGTTATGATGTCCATGTTACAAAGCCTGCAAACAAACACCATTTTTAAAATCAGACATATCTTTAAGCGAGTAACTTTTGAAAATAGTGTTTGTAACAAACCTGCTAGCTTCTAATAACGGTAAATGGTCATTGTGAGGCTTTTCTATCACGTTTTTTACCTGTTGAATACATAACAAAGGAGACTCAATTGTAAAATTGCATAGCAAAGAACGGATGAGATCCAGATTTTTAGCCGAAAGATGAGAAGATGTAGAGTTTTATGCCAATGCAGTTGGAGGAAATGGAATCTTGAAACTAGTCTCTTACTTTTGACAGTAGTTCCTGGCTCTCTGGAGGTTGTTTTTTCAAACTTTGAGGTAAGATAACCGTAAGAAGCTCTGGTCTCTCTGCTCTAAGTGCACCTCTTATTACAGCTGCATTGGTTCCAGATGCACCTGATGTGTATATATGGTTTTTCTGCAACATAAATCATAGCGAAGATGTCGTACGATGTGGGAATAAACACAAGATTCAGAAGTTTTAGTCTTGTAGGCAAATGTCTTACAGTTATAACCATGGCATAGCTAAGAATCTGAATGAGCTCTTGATGCATAAAACCCATATTCCTAGTTCCAAAGAAGCCAATTGATCTTGGTCCTTGTTGTTGTATAGCCAACAGCTCCTGCCAATTCACATATCGTTATAGCCAAAAAAGCAGACATGCACCATTTTCTTGCCAGTAAAAATTAGTGTTAACTTACTTGTATATAATCTACATCAGGGGCTGGCTGTAACTCTGAGACAGCAACTGAACCAGTTCCTTCAACGATAGCCTGAGCCTGTGTAGGAATCCGGAGACCGGTGGTTTCTTCATCTGATTCAAACCTAGATGTTACATTGTCCTCTTTGCTTATCCAGATATCCAGGTCGTCTTGATCTCTCGTGTGTTCAGGAAAGCACTATATTACCATCACACAGAAACAGAGCCCCTGGGAGTAAATCATTAGTGAAAAACCACATGCAACTTCTGAGATGCAACAAAGACTAGTTCATGACACACAGATTGTAATATTGTCAACATGAATTTTAATGCAAAATGTGAAAACCATATCTTCTACTCATTAAAACTTATGTTCTCAAAAAAATTAAAATAACATTCACTGATAATTAAGAAGAGGAAACAAATTGCTTCATAAGTAGGCATCATGAGACTAGCAACATAAAAAGGCTCACTGACTTCTTAATTGCACATGGTGGGTTCGGAGAAAACCAAAGAAGATTCTTCTCTTTTAATACAATCTGAACTGTTTCAGTACCACAACTCCAACGAGAATGCAATCAATGAAATGGCAACAAAATTGAAAGGACACAAAAACTACTATTCGACGTATACCATTAAACCAATTTGTCACCAACAAATTGAGCAAACCAATCGAATCAAAATCCGTAATTGAACAAGCACCTGAATCAAGTGAGCCAGATTGCCAAGCTATAAACTTTCTTAATTTTGAGACATTGAAGGAACAAAAAGAGGAAACACATTGCATAATCTATAGAATTTGTTGATATAAGTATCTACACTGAGACTAGCAACATTCACATGGTAAGAAACAACCTGTAGCATCAAGAAAAGGGCTCACTTTTGCTTCTTAATTGCACATGGTGGGTTCGGAGAAAATCAAAGTAGATTCATTTTTGATACTATGAACTATTTCAGTACAACTCCAGCTCCAAAGAGAATGCAATCAATGTATTAACCACCAAAATGGAAGGCCACAA